AATAAACTGCAAATAATGGAACTACAGAAAGAACTAAGAATGTGGCAAAGACCAGGAAGTCATGAATATTATCCTTATAACCAGAATATGGATAATACTAGGAACACAAACCAACACCAAATGAGTGATCAGCATACTGGCGTACAGCTAACAAATCAGCAATCCAGGATTCCTAATCAAGCCAATCCACTATTCATGAATCATTTGGCACCTCCACACTATAGCCAGATACCAACAGAGCAGAGCAGAATAAATCATGGCCATATACAAGCGCCAATGTACCACAATAGCAGAATACGGGCTATACCTGCAAATGGCCAAAGCAGCCACTATTACACTGGCTATAGAGGTATACCAACTGGCAGTATCAACACTAACATGATACAAAATGCACATTTATACAAACAGCAATATAGGATAGCTCCACAACCTATACCACAAAATATAAATTACCACCAAGGATATAGTCAACAACAGACAAACAGAAAGGAACAAAGTCAAAGAAACATCAATAAAAGATTCTATGACCAAAGAACAAACATGCCAGTAATAGCTAAACAAAGTCAGGCAGAAGAAATTGAAAGACAAAATCAACTACAACAACAAACAAATCAGGCTGATAATATCAACCAAGTAGATAAAGAACCAACAGAAGAAGCTAGAATGAACATCAATCTAACAAATTCAGCTACTTTGACTACCGCGAAAAATGATGAAGATAAAACCCATACAGAAGTAAACCATCAAGTAGAAGTCACTTCCAGAACTGGTCTTATAACAACGGCTTCTAGTGGGGACGCCCCGCTGGAAGCGGACTGCCATCAGAAGTTTCCCTCTCAAAGGGGGGGCTATATTTGGTGGTCCTAAGCATCTAAAGGGACTAGTTCAGGCTGACAATCTAGAAACAAAAGAAGATGGGAATAGAAAGAAACCAAATCATTTTTTAGGCAGCGGCCGATCAAACAAGATAAAAGGGAGGATATCATTATAGGTACACTCAATGTACAAAATGTGAAGTCAAACGCTCTCTATATCAAAAACTTGTTAAGGGATGTACAGGTGTTATGCATTCAAGAACACTGGCTCTTCAATGCGGAAAAGAAAATCATAGCTGAAGTTGCTGAAAATAGCGGATACATAGCTAAAAGCGTTGATGATAATGACGACCCTGATTTCAACGTATCAATGAAAAGAGGATATGGTGGAGTAGCCATAATCTGGAAAAAAGAAATTAATGAAAATATAAAGGAACTGATAGACGGTGGAAATAGAATACAAGCCATACATATTCAACAAGGAGACAAACCAATATGTCTTATAAATGTATATATGCCATCAGATAACAAAAATGCAGATATCGAATACAAAGACACTTTGGCTGAAATTGATGAAATGATAGAGAAATATAAAGATACACACGAAATTATAGTATGTGGAGACATGAACGGGTCACTCCATAGAAGCTCTACACCTCATGATAAAATTCTACAAACTTTCTGCAAGGCAAAATGTATAGGAAATACTGAGAAATGCCCATTAAAAGAAACATTTTATCACCAGAATGGTAAATCGAAAGGACAAATTGATTACTTCCTCTTCAAAAGTAACTCGGAAATAATAAATAAAATCAGACAAATTGATGTCCTTGACACTGACCCAGAGAATACCTCGGACCATGTACCTGTTATTCTGACACTGATTAGCCAACTGAAAAAAGTAAGGGAAAAAGCAACAACTATCATAGCAAAACCTAAATGGACTGACTGTGACCATCAAATTTATAAGGAAATCACCAATAAAGATCTACCAAACCTCATGCAAAAATCAAAAGGAATCATTGAGCAAGATATAAGAAATCTAGAAAAATTGCTACATAAAAGAAGCGGCAATCCCAAAGTATAGAAGAAAAATCAAAATCAAATCAAAGGGAAAGGCGATATGGAATGAACAAATAGAAAAGGCATCAAAGCAATCAAAAAATGCATATAAAGTATGGAGGCAACATGGAGCACCCCAAGAAAGAAGTAACGAGCTCAAAATCAAAATGACAGCTGCAAAAAGAATACTTCGAAAAGCACAAAGACAAGCTTATGCTTCTCAGAGAGAATCAACAGCGGGAAAAATTATGAAAGCTTCAAATGCAGACACAAAACTTTTTTACAAGCTTATTAACATGCAAAGAAAAACACCACTTACTAACACCAAGATACTGAAACTGAATGAAAATTTAAGACTGCAGAAGATGGACCAAGCATAATGAACATTTGGCAAGAACATTTCCAACAACTAGCTACGCCAACATTAGAAGAAAATTTTGACACTGAAAAGCTAGAGCTTGTAGAAATACAAAACAATATAATAGAATCCATAGAAAGGGAAAAAGGTCAAGGCATTGATCATGTCAATGTAAAGGAGGTTAATAAAGCTATAGAAAAACTTAAAGCAGGAAAAGCACCAGATGAGGATGGAATTTCGGCAGAACACTACAAATATGGGATGGATGAGTTAACTCCCTTTATAGTACATTTGCTAAATTTAATTTTAACATATCTGGATGTACCAATCTTCCTAAAGACAGGGATTCTTACACCAATCCTAAAGAAAGAAAAAGACAAAACATTACCATCTAGCTATAGAGGAATAACTGTGACTAAAACCTTTGCAAAAATATTACAAAGTATACTGAAGGATAGAGTTGACTCTGTATTTAATAACATACAAAACTCCTTGCAAAGAGGCTTTACAGAAGGAGTATCATCACTATGCGCAGCTTTCCTCACATCAGAAGCAATCGAAGAAAGTAAGAAATTAAAGATACTGATGATTTTAATAACTCTTGATGCAGAAAAAGCATTTGACAAACTAAACCATGAAATACTATTCAACAAGTTGTACCATTATGGAATAAAAGGAAAACTCTGGATACTACTGAGAAACTTGTATAAAGGCATGAGCATTAAGGTTAAATTCGAAGGTCAATGTACAGAAGATGTAATGGTGTTACAAGGAATTCAACAAGGTGCAAAACTATCTACAACGCTATATAAATGCTACAACAACGTCATACTGGATAGCATTTTAAAAAGTGGACCTGGAGCATGTATTGGTAATATACAAGTCCCTGCACCCACATGTGCGGATGACATTGCTGTCCTGGCAAATAGTACTGCAGACGCACAAGGAATATTAGACATAGTACAGCATCATACAAGCAGAGATCTAGTTAAAATCAATCCAACTAAATCTGAAGCGGTTTTATATAATGCAAAAGGCTCAAACATAACAACACTGCAATTCGAAGACGATGACATCAATATAACCAATGAAACCAAACATCTAGGTATCAAAAGAAACGAGCAAAACCGGGCAAATATCTCTGAAAGAATAAGAACCGGCAGGGCAACAATATACAGCCTTCTCGGAGCCGGTTTACATGTCAGAAGGGGATTCTCACCCATGGTCGCATACAAGCTATGGAGAACATATGCAGTACCAAGAAGCACCTACGGACTTGAGGTGATGAACTTACTTGCAAAAGAAAAGGATATGCTAGAACTGGCAGAGAGAAAAATCCTCCGACAAATTCAAGGGCTTCCAAATAATACAGCAAATATGGCTGTCTATACCCTGGTAGGAGCAGAACCTATTGCCATCACATTAGACAAAAATCTACTTACCTTTTTCGTGAATATTGTTCGAAATTCAGGAACCATAGAATGTGAAATTCTGCGTCGACAAATAGCATTCTCAGTCCAAAGAGGAAAAGACTTTATCAACAGAGTGGAAAAAACTCTATCAAAATACAATTTGAAATCTAGTAGTTACTACATAGAAAAACCACTTAAGAAAATCGAATGGAAAAGACTAGTAGGAATAAAGATCAAGGAATACTGGAAAAATGAATGTCATTATGAAAAAATGGAAAAAACATCACTTAAATACATAGAGATACAGAACAATCCATTAAATGAAGCACACAATATATGGAAAAGCGTAAAAAACAATAGTAATGATGTAAAGGCAGGAGAAATAAAAGCAAGAATAAGTACCCAAACGTACATATTACAAGCCAAAAGAGCTAAGTTCGATCCGAAAGTTAACCCGATATGTACAATCTGTGAACAGGAAAATGAAGATCTAGAACATTTTATTCTACGCTGCAAAGAATTGGAGCAAATAAGATCTAAATATTGCTCAAAAATAGAACAGACAATGGATGAAATTGATACCTCAACATACAAGAAGATCATACAAGAAGGGAATTTACTGCAGCTCATAATGGACTGTACTAGCAAGGACATAAACTGTTACTCAACTGTGTATGAAAACATTGAAACTCTGGCTAGAAATATGTGCTACGAGATGCACATGCTGCGCACAAAAAGGATTAAAAACTTGAACACAAGTACAGTATAAGTAAACTTTTTTTAAATAAAATAGTTCCCTACTTTACCATCTTACTATTTTATGACGTATTAGGACCTAAATTAAATAAAAAAATTTGAAAAGTTTTAAGATATCCAGTTACCTTTAAAGAATAATGATAAGATCCGAAGTAAGGTTCCTTTAAACTGTGAAGGAAAACTTATGTATATATGATGAATTGTTCTCAACCCCAACCCTTTTACATAAGTCTTATAAAATAACCTTCTCATTATAAATTCTGATGTACGTATAGCACCTTTAACTAACAATTATAAGAAAGTTTAATTTAAGACCACTTAAATTCTAAATTCTTATTTGTAAATATATCCAGTTCTTACTTAACTTATTCTTACACTTCAGCACATTATGAATATTATTTTTAAAATTTTATGATGACAATCCTATGAATTAGTTATAATATTAATTATTTAGTAATTACTATTGCCTAAATTCAGTCATCTGTACATAATTAAATGTTTCCTTATGTTCTAAGGTGTATATAGTTGCTACAATTATACCCTATGGGTAGTGCTCCACAATTAATGGAGGAAACTGAACTGAACTGAACCGGTATATGGCTAGTTTGAGTGGAATGACCACCAGTTAGAACTGGCTGCGGATAGGTGCTGTAGTAATAATAATTTTATAAGTAACACATTACACTTGAAAATTATTGTTTGTTATTTTTATACGGAGAATAAAATGCGATTTGTTTATTGAAAAAAAAAATTTATTTGTTGACAAACAAGGCACATGATAAAGAAAGCATTTGATTGGTCAATTTACACACACCCCCTAATCTGTGTACGGTAAGCCGGTATAATATAATTTTTCAGTATCCATAGTTTAAATTGCTTCATACATATAGTAACTATATACTTTCCTAAAGCGAATATTTTGCATTTTTTACATTACTGTAAGCAAGACTAAACCAAATATCAAATAAAACTACGTTCTCGTTAATCACAGTATTTAGTTTCTCGTTGGTTAATTGGTATACCGTAGTATCAAAAACAGGTGTGAAGGTCACTGTAGTTTCACGCTAGAGACAGTGAAGAATTTTTAACAAAAAGTAAAGGAGTTTGGGAAAAAAAAGGTGTGACTGAATATGGTAAGTAAAACTATTTAATATAGATTGTAGAAGGTTTTAAAAAAGAAACAACACAAATTTTATGCCCCCAAAAATTGCATCACCAACATGACCAAGGACAAATTCAAGTTCTTTATAATTAACTTAATAAAACCTATAATGATAATCACTATAATATATCATAGGACCCAAAGACCGGCATATATATCATTACAAAAACAGATGGTCATACATGTTTAACAAGGTGCATTCACCCATTCTCATAACTATCATAACTTCATACTGATTGAAAATGATTGATCAGAACATTAACATAAACATAATTAAAAGGGGGGGGGGGGGGGGAATAGTCAGTTCACTTGTCCCATGTTATTAAGGTCAAGGTGCAGTATTTTAACATTGGCTATATGTATGTCATAAATTTTGGTAAAATTTTCCATACAACTTTAGCTGGTTGAACTTATAACTGAAAATGGAAAAAAAGGCATATTATCTCTTATTTTTTGAAAAATATAACCATGATAACTGAATTGATTCTTTCAAAGATAGCTACACATTTGTATAGAAAGCACATAAAATTGTCTTCATTGGAAATAATCCATACTAATAAATTTATTTCACTAAATTTTTTCAAGCTAGGTTATTTTCCAAAAATCTTAAGAAAAGTTTTCTGCATGCATGTCATATGGGTGACCATGGGTAAATACTGGACTGAGGACGGGTGCATACTGGACTGAGGACGGGTGTATATTGGACTGAGGACGGGTGTATACTGGACTGAGGACGGGTAAATACTGGACTGAGGACGGGTAAATACTGGACTGAGGACGGGTAAATACTGGACTGAGGACGGGTAAACAGAAAATGCACCTTATCCTCTACTGAGTTATAGTAACATAATTTACAAATTCTCTTTGATTTGAGTATAATAACTAATTTTCCATGCTCATCATTTTTTTAATGCCCCAGCCGTAGTGGAGGGGGCATTCCTGATCCTGATCCTGATCCTAAGGTCAAAAATTGACACGACTTGTCTCTCGAATATTGTACAGAATATTCCTCATACGGTGCACCATTTCTCCTGGTAATTTCTCATGTAGTACTTTGAAAAGTTAGTTTAGGCGCAGGATCGGGTATCAGGACTTGCTAGTTCTTGAAAACGCCCTGATTTAGATATATATTCCCTTATAATTTGTGCATTTTTTTCATATTTTTCTCTCTTTGATGGTGAAAGTAGTGATTGAATGTCCAGTGGAATGTTAACTATTTCCAGTTGTCTTTTTAAGTCCTCTCTTTCTTGGTGGTATCTCGGACAGTATATCAAATAGTGTTCTGTTTTTTCTTCTTCTCCGCATTCACAATATGGCGTGAGGGATTGAACTAATTGGTTTCTGTATTTGTTTTAGCATTAAGTGTTACCTTTGTCCATCCCGTCCTTCCCGTCCGTACGTCCCCAAAATTGGTTTAGGTTCTTTAACTTTAGTTTGCCTCAACCAAATGTTATAAAACTTATACAAAATGCTTATTACCACAAAACACAGATCAAGTTTGAAATGTGGTGGCGTCACTTTTACCGTTTCATGAGTTATTCCCTTTTATAAACATAAAAATTGCTGAATTTTTCGTTTCCGTTCTCTAACTTTAGTTTTCATACCAAATGTAATGAAACTTAAACACAATGCTTATTACCACAAAACACAGATCAAGTTAAAAATTGGGTGGCGTGACTTTTACCGTTCATGAGTTATGCCCCTTTATAAACATAATAATTGCTGAAGTTTTTGTTTCCGTTCTTATGAAACTTATACACAATGCTTATTAACACAAAACACAGATCAAGTTTGAAATTGGGTGGCGTCACTTTCAAGGATCTTGAGTTATGCCCCTTTATAAATGGAAAAATTGCTAAATCTGTCGTTTCCCTTCTCTAACTTTAGTTTGCCTCAACCAAATGTTATGAAACTTGTGCTTATAATAACAAAACGGTCTTAACTATGTGAATCCTGCATCTGTACAATGTATGTGGAATTTGACTCATGCATATTTACAAGTGGGGGCATCTGTGGCCCATAGACACATTCTCCATTTATTTTATATTGACCTTTTTCTATGCGGAGACTTTGATTGCTTCATCTGAATCAAACAAAAAATGAGCACTTTTCGGCCTTATCTCTGTTATTTATGTTAAAATAATTAAAAAATTCAAAAATTGATTGAAATGGAAAATATATTTTGAGTTTACAGTGGTCCTCATAATCTGATAAAACTTTAATAATGTTCCAGTATTTTATAAGATCTTGTTTTAAGACCCTTTTAGCAACATTTTAAATTTTGTCTCATGTATTTACAAATTAGTAGGTCTAGATTAAGGTTTCTTTAAGCAATTTAGTAATTGCAAACCAAGAATTTCCTGTGACTGCATATCCTTTGGTTGCTCTCTCATAAACATTATCCCAAAACTCGTTTTTATTCACATTTAAAAAAGGGCTTGGTGGCAGAGTGTCTAAGTCAAACTACTGTAACACTAGCCTGTCAACACTGAGGTTGTAAGTTCAAATTCCGACCGTTGTAGGTGGGCTTGACTCTAATCTTATTTGACTAGGATTGTCAGTTTTCCTACTGAAGGTTGGTGGTTCGCTCTGGGCACTCCGGCTTCCTCCACCAATATAAGCTGACCTCCACAAAATAGCACAGTAGTGCTGAAAGTGGCATTAAAACCCAATCAATCAATCACATTTAAAAAAATATAATTAAAATATTAATGATTTGATATGCGCTCTGAGAAAAAATTTTGATGATTATATGGATAAGCAGAATGGTGTTATTATTACATAATTGATAGAATATTGTACACAATGCTTATAAATTTCACGCATAAACTATATGCCTTAATCAGGAATCCAGAATTGAATATCATAAATGTCTAATTTAAAAATTTTTGATATATGTACATGCACCTGTAACATTTTAAAAAGTTACTACTCAGCTTTTTTAAGTATGAAAATTAACGCAAACCATAATTTTTACATATAATTATTTTTTGTACCGGTAATTAGAGCACAGGACATAAGCGAACCTCTGGATCAGGAAGATTGCTGACTGGGGTTGGAAGTGGACAGGCAAAGACACTGAAAGAATCCCCTCCCAATAAAAAAGCAAGAAATTCAAAACATGGAGAATCCTCCGTGAATGCAGAAATAAGCTCCAGTAGTAGTCCTGTAAAACCAGAAACATTGATAGACATTTTCTGTGACCCAGAAAACCCTAAGAAAGTCCAGTTCCAAGATGTTAGTGCTGCTGCTTACAAAATTAAAACTGGAATTTTTCACACACCATGTTCTGTAAGTGGCTGTAGAAATGAGAACACATATTTATTATATAGTTAGCTTAGTGATAGTATATTCATGAATGATAAAATATGTACAAAAAAGTAAAGTTTTTATATTAGATAGGTTGAAAAGAGCACATTTAGATGAAAAAGTTAGAATAAGTTCAAGTGTAGTACAGTTGAAAAAAAAAATGAAGAATATTTGCCCAAGATTAGTTTAAGTGTGATCTCAAAACCAGCAAAGGTGTTGAAATCTGTGTAGGAATTTGCCAGACCTTGCAGCTGATACAATATATTTCTCAGTTAAGTACATTATGAAATACTCTAAATGTCCATCAATCCTCATCAGATTTAGCCATAAAGGTCTGATAGGACTGATGATATTTAACAGCTCTGAGGCATTGGATTTAACATACCCTTTAAAATAAGTTGGGCTTCATATTTTAACCTTCTGCACAGCCAAACAGACACACTCTTTAGCATGGTTTTTACTGCCAGATGGGAGGAGTCCATATTTCTATAATCTAGAACTCCAGACAACCTCAGGCTCTTCATCATTTGTCAACTTCAGACCTTCTATGAAAAATAATGAGATGTGGGGTATATATCAATGAGACTTGCACCTTGAAACACAATAGAGCCAGAAAAGACATCTACAGGGAATCACTAAATGCAAAATATTCATGAGACCCTGTCGATTCAAAAGAATAAAAGTTGAGGAAATAACTCAAATTTAGATTTGTGGAGCACTAGAAAAATGTGGTTGACATAATATTACATTCAACTACTGATGTTTAAGTTTTACAGGATACATATCATTTAATAAAGCTATATGTAGTTAGGACCATAATTTGCTTTTGTCTATTACAATTAAAGGTTCTTTATACTGCAGCTAGAACACTTCCTGTCGTCTTTATCTAAAATTGAGAATGGAAATGGGGAATGTGTCAAATACACAACAAACCGACCAAAGAGCAAAAAAACAGCCCAAGGCCATCAATGATGGGTCTTCAACACAGCGAGAAAATCCCACACCCGGAGGCAGGCTTCAGCTGGCCCATAAAAAAAAATGTATACTACAATGTAGTTCAGCGCAAAATGGATGTCACACTATCTCTGAAAAAAATTAAAAAACATACAAAGACTAACAAAGGCCAGAGGTTCCTGACTTGGGACAGGCGCGAAAATGCGGCAGGGTTACACATGTTTTGTGAGATCTCAACGCTCCATAGTAACAAAGGGATATTGTGTGCAACGCTCCATAGTAACAAAGGGATATTGTGTGCAACACTCCATAGAAACAAAGGGATATTGTGTGCAACACTCCATAGTAACAAAGGGATATTGTGTGCAATGTGGATTTCATGTCAAGTTACTTTTCTTCACAATTTGGGGTTCATTTTGGATGGAAATACTTTTTCTTTTTGTTTTAACATTTGCATAACGATAATTGTAGCCATTTTCAGCAGCAGTATAAAAACAATATTAGGTTTATGTTGAAAAATATCAACATTTTTATATTTGGGCACAAAACAGTTGAAGGGCTTGGTAAACTACTCGCCCTTCTTCAGTTTCTAAGCCTCATACAAAAAGTTGATATTTTCCTGACATTGACCTAATACTGTATATATGGTATTGTTTTTCTTTCACAGAAATCCAGACTGTCAGATCAACTGGGAATGGACATATATTTTAAAAAAGAATTCCTACAATTTACTGGAAGGTAGGCACTTAGAATTATAAATGTGTAACATATTCATTGGTTTATTTGTACTGTTATTTATGTGATATAAATTCATTGAATTTATACATTTGTCTATTTTTAAATACATTTACTTAGGACAAGACTTGTAATTTGCAGGCCTTTTACCAGACTTCTTTAAGTCATATTCATATCCAAAAGACCCCCAACAAATGTAATTCTGATGCAAATTTTGAAAGGATCAGACAGGTAAAATGGAATAACCAAAACACAGGTAGCAGTATAAATTATGTACAATAAATATAAAAATAACATCTTGTAATTAAATGAAACAAATATCGTGACACCAAGATAGTTAAAAGCAATCAAAGCGTTAGTTTTTTTTGTTTCAGTATACATCCACCTGATTGGATTTTTTTCTATTCCACTGCAGAAGATTTATCAATTGGGCGACTTCTTAGTGGTTTCCCTATTATAAAATAAAAGACCAAATAAGATTTTGATTTTAGTCTTATATTTAGTAAAGATTTACAAAGTGTGATTGTTTGCAAGGACAAAACTACTTAAACATTGGTGGTTACATGACATTTTGATTATTATGTTTTGTTTTATGATAGAACTTGAAATTCTGACTTATTTACCTACAAAAAAGTACATAATAGGGCATTCATTAGATTTTGAGGCACAGTTTCAAGTGGTCAAAGTGAGTGGCTGGCTGCCCTTTTACTGCATACAGGTATCAAAACATTTGAAGTAGCCACATTTGGAGCAGAGTAGCAGGTGAAAATCCAGCCATGTACTTTTAAGAGGCCTTGCATAATCTTTTATTTCCCATGGTAAATTCCTACCAAAGTTATGTTAAAATATAGAATTTAGCACAAGTAAGAAGCCCCCACCCCTGTTTTTGTCTGGTTGAAGGATCTGAATATTCCTGCCTTATTTTCTATTGGTGCTCCTTCTTTCATTAGTAGTGGATCCTTTATAACACAAACCTACATGTAACATACAATAACATTTTTTTTATGTATTATTCATTTAATATTCAAACACACTGACCATTTTGACCTGATCATTAATTGGACTTTTAATAAAAAAATAAATGTATGAAAGACCCTGACACTAAATTATAAACACCTAGATCTAAGGATCTAAGGTTTACATATTTTTAACCCCTACATAGCCCTTTATTTCTTTTTTTTTTTTATTGATAACCTACAATGTTTAGAGAAAAGATATATTTTTTTGCAATTATCATATCATGAATCAGGATCATTGAGATTTTATATTATATCTTTAATATCAGTGTTTTCATATAGTTAATAGGATTATTATGATAAGGTGTTTGTGTGTATAGATTAAGATTTCTAAAATTAAGTAATATATGTTATTTTTGGAAATTAGAAAAGATTTATGACATAACATTGTTTCTCCTACATTTTTTATTTGTTACAGTTTCAAAGAAAGGGGTGCTAGATATGCCTTGTTATCTTTAACACCAGTAAGTGATTAATTTTAAATAATCTCTAGTTATATTTAGTACAGGAACCTAAACAAACAATGTTTATGTAACAATTAGTCATAGAACAAGATCACTATCTTTCGCTGCAATATGCAATATTCCATAAACCATTTTTTATATGTCCACCTATGGCTCTGTTTCATCACTCTGGATTTAAGATGGGACAGAATTCTGAATGGCATATAATAAAACCATAGATGTGTAGATTACTTGCAGAAAGTTTAAAACACCGTTTTGATCATCTACCTCTAACTTTTCATGCATAATTATTTGGTCTTAAATAAAATATGTGAAGCTGATCATTTAAAATTTTAAACAAATTCATTTGCATATTATTACATTATATCTATTTTTCTCAAGAATCTGTAATTATTATTGGCAGACAACAATCTTTGGCAACATTCATGACAGCATATGCTTCCCATGACAACATCACAACATTACATAGGAGAAAAAATTAATATGACACATTATTTCATGGTTGTAGGATGAAAGTTTTATAATAAGAATTGAATGCTTCTTTTTGTCATTTTATAAGGTTGTAAAACTGTTGATAGTGCACACATTTTTAGTATGAAGTGTTTCTGTCAATGCTTTTACACCCCAATTAAATTACAAAAAGAAGCATTCAATTCATATAGTTCCTATCATCCTATGTCAATCAAAGTACAAAATGTAGTTGAATAAAATTCCATGTACAAGCTATAGTACATAGAATTCAGTATGATAGACACACTTAAAACAATAAATGAAAAAAAAAATCTTTCATTCATTTAGGGTATTTATAGACAACATTAAGTAAGAATCTTTACATACATTTTTATACACTTTTACAAAGTTTATATTACATGTATTACATCTGAAACTACTTTTTCTAATAATCCACACTATGTCTTATATTTCAACAATAAAAAAATCTCTAAAAGGGGCATTAGCTGTCAAATTCATGATCACCGATTTGACTTAAATTCTCATATTTGATTCATAACATACTAAAATGTAGATCCAAATTACAACAAGTCACAAGTCTAAAAGAAACAATTAACAATGCATGGACTCGTTATAATGTATCAGCATTTCGTGCATATTTTAGACTAGATGCAATCGAGATTACCACTGAAGACTGCCAATAGTCATTCGACCCGATATGAACATAACTATCAAAATAAATAGACTGAGAAACATATGGAGTTGTGTAATTACAATTTATCCAGGTCCGTTTGATTTTATGCCATACATTTAAAAAATGTAAATTATGGGTTTACCTGTATATGAATGATATTGCTTGGCCGAATCAATCAAGGAAATGTTTTTTTTATGGTGGCTCCCTTGTTTCACTTTTCAAAGTTGACACTCTTTTCATTTTAATAAAATTAACATGTTTAGGGCATGTGTAACCCATCTGCAGCTAAAGGTGAAGTTAGGGTTACGTGAATAAGGATTCAAATTAGGTTGAATTATTGACTTGCCAGTGAATAATACATGTACAATTGCTATGTTTTTTTATCTTATTTTGTCAAAATTGAACCAAACTGACTGCTAATAGCAAAATATTGTTTCATTAGTCCGCTTTTATAACTGTTTGAAAGAAAAAAGTCGTATTTTTATTTTTTTGTCTAAATGGCAGCTAATGCCCCTTTAAACTAAACAAAATTTGTGATTCTTTTAGGAACAAAAGAAAGTTGGTGTGATAGCAGCCAGTGCAGGGAACCATGCCTTAGCTTTATGTTACCACGGAGTTGACCTCGGCATCCCAGTAACAGTTGTTATGCCAAAAATAGCTCCATTGATGAAAGTTCAAAATTGTAGAACCTATGGTGCTGAAGTCATTATACATGGCAAAAGTATATTTGAGGTATTACAATAATATGGCACTGATTTCACTTGGATGGTATATTATTGAAACAGTGAGGTTCAAATTGTTACCATAATTACAATTTTCAATGACATTTTTTTTCTTATGGGAGGTTTTTTTTTTTTTGGTGTTCAGATCAGCTGAATTTTATTTCTAATTTTTAGGAGAAAACTTGAAATTTCATGCTTTTTTTTATTCTCGCCCAACTCTACCAAATTCATTACCCCTGAAATATTAATAAAAATATCTACATAGTAGCATTTACCTCAAATTATGTAAATTATTTTATTTTAAAAATAAACAGAAATTAAAACACATTGTTGTCGTAAATCTGTAAGATTTTATTTTGAACCATATTGTGATAAGTTGTTCCATCCTCACATATGAAATGGACCCATCCAAACAGGAAAAATGTAAAGTAAGAAGTAAATGAAGATTACCACACAATTTGGAATTTTCTTGTATCATAGGTTGTATGAAAAAGTTACTGCTATTTGGATATTTAAAGCTGGTTTACCTGGCAAAATGGACAAACCAATATCCCTGTTTTTCACATTTGACAGGTCTACTTCCTAGGTGGTAAAGTGGGTTTTTTTTGTGCAATGTATTTGCAATTTTTATTCACATGCTTTCCTTTTTAAAGCTCATTATTCACTGTGATTAGTGAAAATTGATTTAAATCAATGTATGGCTATTTTTTTAATTTTTTTTCATTCATAGTGAAATGACCATCTATTTCCTATTTGTAAATGCACATATCCCCCACCCCTTTCTTAAATGACAATGACATGCATTGTATGTTTAAAACAGCCAACACATTTTTTTTGCAACAAAATTTAAGGAATAATGACAAAAAATTAGAACATAATTATTGTAATAAAGCTTAAGTACACAGTAATTTTATACATATTTATGTCTTGGGAGATATTTTTTTTCTGACCAATTAACAGGGTTTTTTCTAAAAAAATAACACCATCAACCAACAAATTAAAAAAAATATTTTGCTATTTTTGCTATTGTGAATTGTCTTTAAAACTATAATAAATTAACAGAATCTGTATATTGCAAAAATGATCTGAAATACAAGATCTACAAATAAGTCAATATGGCCAAAATCATCACTTTAACCTTATATAGATATTTAGTATTCTAATTTGAGGTCTTAAAAAAGTGTTTTAAAAAGTATTAATGACTTTCCAGCTAATTTTAACATGATAAGTCAATTACTGAATTATCTCCCTTGATAAAAGATTAGTGACTAGCTGCAATAGAATGTTTTCACTTTCAAAATGACTGTTCATATTCAGTAAGTTACTTTTAGTAAACCATGATCTCATTCTTTGTTAAGTTTAAGATATCTTCAGACAGCTAAATACAAAATATTAAAAACTATATTTTCTTTCAGTCAAGAGAGTTTGCAATGAAGATGGGAAAAGAAAATGGGAAGATGTATATAAATGGGTAAGATTGATACCAAAATATGATTAAAATCTAAAAAAAAATGTTTTTCAATTGAAGACAGCTGGAAAAATATGCAGTGACAAATTGAAATTCTATGGTCCCAGTATTATCTGGATAGGGAGAGTTAAGACTAAGCGAGTGCAATTATCAGTAAAATACAGAATTTAAAACAAAAATCAAACTTTTTCTTTAGATGCTATTTCATGGTCTTAAAGATTAGCTTCTATCCAAGGTTCATAACAATCCATGAAGGTTTACAAATTTATCATGTCAAAAAGATTAATCCCAGACTGTCTGTATATGTTAACTGTAAAAAAACTAAGTCCATTTATCAGAAAAATACTGAAAATAAAAAAAATACATTTTCAAAAGTTTGCTCTGAATACTGTATTTTGGTCATAACTAAGCTTATGTCCAAATTTCATAAAATTCCATGAAGATTTGACAAAGTTATTGATGACTGAAAATCTTTAACCACAGACTGAACCTAAATGTTGACGCCGCCAACACCGCAGATGGAATCTAGGATTGCTATGTCTCGCTTTCGGGACATAGTTATCGCAGGCTTGACAAAAAGTGGTTTTCTGAAGGGGATTTGACATTTTGGTGCAGGTAAAGTAGTACAGGGTTTCAGGTTCTGGATATTTAGCTTATGCTAACTTCATGTAACTTTAACTTACAGTCAAACCTGTATATAAAGGTAAACCCCAGGATCATAAGAACGGACCTTTGAATTGAGGTTCAAAATGTATAGGTATTACTACATCAGATTAAAAATAGATAGAAAATGAAGGGATATGGAGTAAATGTACATGGGACAAAATCGCACACAAGAGACTGACAAGGCAGGTTTTTTGCTCAATAGAGGTGACCTTTATAGCAGATTTGACTGTATTTTGGGGGCATTTTGCATGTTGTCTGTGTGACTTTGATATCATATATGTATTGTACATATATAGTCATAGCAACAGGATGTCCTGAACTAATGACATGGATCAGATTAATTATGTTTACAACATATACAAGACATGCCTGGTCAATGTGTATGCAGTACTCTGAATATTAGTCATTAACATTTTTAATTCTATTGTCAATTTGTTAGCTTAACTTTAGTTTTACCTGTCATTTTCTCAATTAATTACAAATTTACTGATGACTAACACCAATCTAATCTAAAACCATGAGATTCCATTTCATTTTGAACTCTGAGGTTTTATATTTTATGTAATGAACATGTTACTCAGTCTGTTGTATAATTAATATAAAACAATAACCATTTATTGTAGGTATGACCATCCACATATTATAGCAGGACAGGGAACTATGGGATTGGAAATATTAGAACAAGTACCAGATTTAGATGCCTGTATTATACCTGTTGGTGGTGGTGGGCTGCTGGCAGGGACAGCCTTAGCTATAAAAAATTTAAAACCAGATGTCCAAGTTATTGTAAGTAAGTCAATGTAGATGTCATTTCTGTCAAGACTGAATGCTTTTTAAAACACAGTAAGAGGTTAAACAAAAGATTATAGTTTAGGTCAAATTATTTTTTACTCATAACTATAGTACTGGTATTGTTATCATTTCTGTATGACATAAAGAATTGGATATTAGATTAGGCAAAGACATAAATATTTAAATAAAAAAGTCATATTTTTAATTACAGTGCTTAAAAAGATGCAGGTTAACAAACTTGAACAATTAAAAACATTCCTGTATAAATTTTTCCTTTAAACAGAATATTTCTAGATTGTATATTGTCACTTTACAAGCTAAATGTATGTTATGAAAGGAAAATTTATTTTCAGGGAGTAGAGTCTGAGAATTGTCCAAGTTTTTCTGCATCGCTGAAAGCTGGAAAGGCTGTTTATACAGAGTCCTTATCCACTTTGGCTGATGGTAAGAACAGTTGTGTCACAAGTCATCAAAAAATTACATCTGTGTGTAGTGGGAACACAGTGCCTAAGAGATACTTGGACATTTTTTTTATATGGAACAGTCATCCATCTTAGATTACCCCTCAAATTTAAAACATTTTTTTTTTATCAATAGAAGTTTAACAAAGAAGAAATCTTGAGTTTGAGTTTGAAGTATTAAAATTGTCAGGGCTATTCCAGGGACAATTTAGGGTATTCAGGTTAAAAGAACTTTTTTTTTAGACCTACCACCCATATAATTTTTGAAACAAATCAGTGAAGTTATTTTGTGAAAACTGTTCAGAATCTCATTACCCATGTATTGTTCCAATCCCAATTAAAAAATTCTGGATCATCCTTTTCAAAATATTTTGTTGTTTAAGATATATAAATGAATATCCAGAAATTACCAAGTGTGTGCTTAAGTGTGTATTTTGTTTGAATGTTTCATTTACTTTATTAGGTCTTGCTGTGCCAGTAGTAGGAGTAAATGCATTAGAGACAGCTAAAGATTTCACTGATAAGATGGTTGTAGTCAAGTAAGTCAGTTTTCTAAATCTGTATCAAAGTTTACCAGACATAAAAGAAACATTTGGTATCACTGGACATAACCTCACATGGGATCATTTATGTGGTCTTGCCTGGTCGTCATCTGCAAGATCACACTTTATTAATGTGCCAAATTCTATATACTATACTCTATCACTTAGATCAAAATCTGATTTACTTGTTGCAGTTCACCAGGCACATTCTTATAGCATTACACTAGGTACATTCTTATAGCATTACACTAGGTAAATTTTTTATAGCATCATACTTGATACATTCTTATAGCATTGCATTTGGTACATAGTTAAAGAAACTTACTAGGAACGGTGAAATAAAATTACAGAGTTGTATTGCATGCAAGCATGTTTGTAAACTAGTAAAAATGGGTTAGATGTAGAAACAAGGAATTATTTGAATCTGGAATAATTTTGAATTCTGGAAAATTGATTAGAAGTGTGTAATGAAAACTAACAAAACTAAGGTGGGTTAGCCATGCGTGCATGGTTAAGGTTCAGATTACTTTCACTAATATTTCAGTATGAACTAACTAACCCCCTTAGCCATGCACGCACAGCTAACCCTCCTAAATTGGGTTAGTTTTCATCATACATTTCTTATCAATTTTCCAGAGTTCAAAATTATTCCAGATTCAAATAATTCTTTGGTTAGACTAGATTGTGCACAATATGTAGAATTTATATCCGAAAAGTATGAGGATGAATTTTAAAGAGATACCAACAATGAGGCTTATTTCTATGAACAAATAAATACATGTGAAAAAATATGCTACAAAAATATCCCCATCATCATCGATTAAAATATATAGGTTCATTATTGTATCAACTCTGAGATAACTGGGACAAATTTTACAATCGATTAGTAATTTTTAATATTTGATTTGTAAAAATAAGGACAATACCCTACAAGCATGACAAAAGTTGTGCAGATAATTGTTTTATTTAGAAAAGAAGAAAACTTGTTTGTTCAATCCCTTTATAGAAGTATATCTAAATCAACAATTGTAAACACATAATCATCCGGAAATTGACTGATGATTTAAAGCAGGCAGTAACTTTTTATACGGCCGCAAAAAATTTTTTGTGGTCGTATATTGGTATGACGTTGGCGTCGTCGTCGTCCGGCGTCGTCGTCGTCGTCGTCGTCCGGCGTCGTCTGGCGTCGTCCGAAGACACATTGGTTTTCGCACTCTAACTTTAGTTTAAGTGAATGGATCTTTATGAAATTTTACCACAAGGTTCAATACCACAAAAGGAAGGTTGGGATTGATTTTGGGGGTTATGGTAATAACAGTAAAGGAATTAGGGGCCAAAAAGGGGCCAAAAATAAGCATTTTTGTAACTTCCAGACATAACTTGCGTGTTAGTGTATGGATCTCTCTGACATTGTACCACAAGGTTTCATATCACACAGGGAATGCTGGGATTGATTTTGGGGGTAATTGCCTCCAAATTTTAGGAATTAGGGGCCAAAAAAGGGGCAAAAAACAAGCATTTTTCTAGTTTCATGACAATAACTTGTGTGTAAGTGTATGGATCTTTCTGAAATTGTACTACAAGGTTCCATATCACAAAGGGAAAGCTGGGTTTGAGTTTGGGGGTAATTGCCCTAAACGTTTACGAATTTGGGGCCAAAAAGGGGCCAAAAAACACATTTTTTTCTAGTTTCCAGACAATAACTTGTGTTCAAGTGTATGGATCTCTCTGAAATTGTACTGCAAGGTACCATACCACAAAGGGAAGGCTGGGATTGAGTTTGGGGGTGATGAATCATAATGGGGGTTCAAAAAATTTTGGGGGGGGGGATTTATTTTTTTTTCCTTTTTTTTCTTTTTTTCCTTTTTTGTTTCTTTTAAAATTTTCCATTTTAAGTTGGTTATTTCTGATTTATATTTAAAATCAAATAATAATGATATGGTAGGAGATACACACCAAACAGGATGTGTAAATTATTATATAATAAGTATTGTGCAATAGCAAGAAATTTTCAATTGCACAGTATTGCACAATAGCAAGAAATCTTCAATTGCACAGTATTGCGCAATAGCAAGAAATCTTCAATTGCACAGTATTGCGCAATAGCAAGAAATATCCAATAGCACAATATTGCGCAATAGCAAGAAATTGTCAATTGTACAGTATTGCGCAATAGCAAGAAATCTTTAATAGCACAGGATTGTGCAAAAGAAGATACTTCCTATAAATTGCTTATTTCTTGACCAATTTCAATGGGGTTTTATTCTTGATTTCATGGGGTTCTTTAATATGCTGAATCTAACCGTGTATTTAGTTTTTGGATTTTGGGCACCGTTTTTAAATTGGTCCACATTGAGGTCCAAAGGGTCCAAAATTAAACTTTGTTTGATTTCATCAAAAATTGAATTATTGGGGTTCTTTGATATGCCGAATCTAACTGCGTATTTAGATTCTTAAATTTTGGTTCCGTTTTCAAATTAGTCTACATTAAGGTCCAAAGGGTCCAAAATTTAACTTAGTTTGATTTTAACAAAAATTGAATTCTTAGGGTTCTTTGATATGCTGAATCTAAACATGTATTTAGATTTTTGATTATGGGCCCAGTTTTCAAGTTGGTCCAAATCGGGGTCCAAAATTAAACTTTGTTTGATTTCAACAAAAATTGAATATATGGGGTTCTTTGATATGCTGAATCTAACCATGTATTTAGATTTTTGATTTTTGGGCCCCGTTATCAACTTTGTCCACATTGAGGTCAAAATGGTCCAAAATTAAACTTTGTTTGATTTCATCAAAAATTGAATTATTGGGATTCTTTGATATGCCGAATCTAACCGTGTATTTAGATTCTTAATTTTTGGTTCCGTTTTCAAATTGGTCTACATTAAGGTCCAAAGGGTCCAAAATTAAACTTAGTTTGATTTTAACAAAAATTGAATTCTTAGGGTTCTTTGATATGCTGAATCTAAACATGTATTTAGATTTTTGATTATGGGCCCAGTTTTCAAGTTGGTCCAAATCGGGGTCCAAAATTAAACTTTGTTTGATTTCAACAAAAATTGAATATATGGGGTTCTTTGATATGCTGAATCTAACCATGTATTTAGATTTTTGATTTTTGGGCCCCGTTATCAACTTTGTCCACATTGAGGTCAAAAGGGTCCAAAATTAAACTTTGTTTGATTTCATCAAAAATTGAATTCTTGGGGTTCTTTGATATGCTGAATCTAACCATGTATTTAGATTTTGGATATTGGACCATAATAGGTGAATGTCCAATTTAAAATTTTTAAGTTCTTAGACCACATTCAATCTGTGTTAGAAACCTATGCTGTGTCAAATATTTAATCACAATCCAAATCCAAAGCTGTATCAAGCTTGAATGTTGTGTCCATACTTCCCCCAACTGTTCAGGGTTCGACCTCTGCGGTCGTATCAAGCTGCGCCCTGCGGAGCATTTTATTTCATTTGTAGTACATTTATTATGCCAATTGGTGATTTTTAGGGTGGCCAAAAAAGTTCGTCAGATTTATTTCCTATCAATTGAATACACTTGGACATTTGCAAAAAATTAACAAAATGACAAAAACAAGCTTAAGCTATTTATATAGTGTGGCACAATAGTGTTAGTTTTAGCTAATAACAACATCACTTTAGACATCAATGATGTCTCCAAAAATTTTAACTTTTTCTGCTACAAATTATTTTTTCACAGAATATAGCTTGAAACTTGCTAGGACCTTCCTTGCACCAATTGATTTGTCATTCATTTTTGAATTGTATATCAATTTTTTTTTAAATTCTGTAAACTAATAAATTAGAAAAGCCTGATAATGTAAAAATAATTTTTTATGATTTTCTCTTTATATTCTTTGTATTATTGGCATATCATGCTGGTAATTTCAACAGCTTGTATATCAAATGGGTTACCCCAATATTTAAAAAAATATTCTTATGTATTTTTACAGCAGAATTCATATGAAAATATAAAAATATATTTGATAAATAAAAATTTTGAAAGTAAATCATATACAAATATAAAGAAGATGTGGTATGAGTGCCAATGAGACAACTATCCATCCAAGTCACAATGTGTAAAAAGTAAACAATCATAGGTCAAAGTACAGCCTTCAACACATTTTCATATGTATGCTTCATCCAGGCCATGTGTTGTTTGTTGTTGGTTGTCTTCGTTTGTATGTCTATTTTCATGGAGGAGTTATTTTTTTGGTGAACGATATGGTCTGTTGTACTATTTAATATTTTTGGTTCTTATGTTATGCTTTGATGTATTAGTTAGTTGACTTAAAATTAACATTGAATGCTATCTGTTTTCAGGGAAGAGTCTATAGCCTTAGCTATACTTAGGCTTATATTTGACAATGAATGCCATCTGTTTTCAGGGAAGAGTCTATAGCCTTAGCTATACTTAGGCTTATATTTGACAATGAATGCCATCTGTTTTCAGGGAAGAGTCTATAGCCTTAGCTATACTTAGGCTTATAGAAGTAGAGAAGTCAGTAATAGAAGGAGCTGGTGCTGTTGGATTAGCTGCTGTTATAGAGGGCTTATTACCAGAACTCAAAAATAAAAAGTGAGTAATATTAGTAAAATGATGACTTCTGTAACCAGGGATTAGATTTCCATGGCAACCATTGCTATGAAAATCTTTTTAACACTTTTTTAAATTTTCTTTGGTCATTATAAGGTAATGAACAGAGTTTCATTGAAATCTGTGACATACTGTGACCAAAGAATTTTGACAGTTTCATAGAATTGATATTAAAATAATAAAGTATTAATTAATCCAAGGTATACCTACTACTATTATTTATGTAGTCCAATTCAGTTGCAACAATTGACTTGTAGTAATATCTGTTTCAAAATTCCAAAAATAAAAACAAGAACACCAGCTAAAATAAAACAGTTGATTTGGATCAATGTCCACAAATACAAAGTTTGATTTGATTAACAGAATACACAATACTGATTTTCCTCATCACAATACTGATTTTACCTCATGTAAATTGGAGTTGTCTACCCATGATTGGTTTCACTTTTGCTCCTCTTGAGTCAAACTATCCTTAAAAACTGTGCTCAAAATAGAATATATACATTGTGAAACCATGAAAAATAATGCAATGCTTACTTTCTGTGACAAACAAAACAAAGAAAAATGGTTGCCACAAAATATGTTTACAATATACTGGACAAAATTGATAGATTGATGCTAGGATGTAAGGCCTAAAATAAAATAACATCTTTCTTGAATTCAATCATTGAAGGTTACTAAACATCCAGTGTAAAATATTACATGCACTTTCACAATGAGTCTGTTTAATTTTAGAGTTGTAATAGCCCTTTGTGGAGGTAATATAGATACGACAATTCTAGGTCGTGCCATAGAGAGAGGTTTAGCAGTGGATGGTAGATTAGTGAGATTTGTTGTAACTGTTAGTGACAGACCTGGAGGCATTGCTGAACTTGCCAAGTTACTGTCCCATAATGGTGCTAGGTATGTGTTAGTGTGTAAAAGTTTGATGCTATGTGATGATGGATTACCATCATTATGGGTTATAGACACTTCCTAAACCCAGTATGAGTAATTCCCAGTTGATGAGTTTAGAAATTACTTAGAAATATAGATTTCACCACTGCAAGTGTGTTACGATATTTCTCCACTCGAGACAGTTAAATTTTAATATTTAAAGCGTGAGGCTTGCCGAGCTTTTTAAATATTTAAAATTTAACTGTTGAGAGTGGAGAAATATGGTAAAACACGAGTTATAGTGGTGGAATCTGTTTCTCTAATGATTTTTATCCTTCCTTTTCAAAGATTTGCAGAAAGTTGTGTTCTTTACATGTGACGTCATCAGGCATGGTCGCCTTTTTTCATGACGTCACAATAGGAAATTCAGAAGAAACCAAGAAAAATAAACGTCATAATTAAATTTCGACCAATAATTTGCCGAGAACAGATATTTCACTAGTGAGGAGAAATATTTTTCTCACACCGATCAAGAAATATGAAAATTGCGCAAAAATTAAGAGAAATATAGATTCTACAATTGTAACAAGTGTGTTACGATATTTCTCCACTCGAAACAGTTAAATTTTAATATTTGAAGCGCGAGGCTTGCCGAGCTTTTTAAATAATTAAAATTTAATTGTTGAGAGTGGAGAAATATCGTTATACACGAGTTATAGTGGTGGAATCTGTTTCTCTAATGATTTTTATCCTTCCTTTTCATAGATTTGCTGAAAGATGTGTTCTTTATATGTGACGTCATCAGGCATGGTCGCCTTTTTTCATGACGTCACAATAGGAAAATCAGAAGAAACCAAGAAAATTTGACGTCATAATTAAATTTCAACCAATCAGTTGCCGAGAACAGATATTTCACTAGTGAGGTGAAATATTTTTCTCACATTTGTACGCTGATCAAGAAATGTGAAAATTGCACAAAAATAATGGGAGACTGAGGTTCCAACTCCCTCAGATTATTGTCAGTTTAAGGCTTTTTAAGCTAGAAAAGGGTTATCTTTTAAATAAAGACTGCAAGTTTTATTTTAGTACATGTATTGAACAATTGATTCTGCAAATAAGAGAGAGCTTGAAATACAGCTGATTTAAGAGCCAATTTAGCCCAATATTGTACCTTCTCTTTTGTATATCAATGTATTTCATTTAAACGAAAAGGTCGTTTTACTAACTGTTAGCTGTTCTTTTATTGTAGACATCTTTAAGATGATCAAAAACTGGTGTTTGTCAGATAGTGAAATGTAGTAAATCATTGTACCAAAGCTAAATGTTATCAATTGTTTTGGCTGAATGCTGATTTAGTAATGTAAAATTGAGAATGGAAATGGGGAAAGTGTCAAAGAGACAACAACCCGACCATAGAGCAGACAACAGCCGAAGGCCACCAATGGGTCTTCAATGCAGCGAGAAACTCCTGCATCCGGAGGCGTCCTTCAGCTGGCCCATAAACAAATATGTATACTAGTTCAGTGATAATGGACGTCATACTAAACTCCAAATTATACAAGACTAACAAAGGCCAGAGGCTCCTGACTTGGGACAGGCGCAAAAATGCGGCGGGGTTAAACATGTTTTTTGAGATCTCAACCCTCCCCCTATACCTTTAGCCAATGTAGAAAAAACAAACGTACAACAGTACGCACAGTACAACTCAGTTTAAGAGAAGTTCGAGTCCGATGTCAGAATAGGAAACAAAAGAAAATAAACAAAATGACAATAATACATAAATAACAACAGACTACTAGCAGTTACTGACATGCCAGCTCCAGACCTCAATTAAACTGATTGAAAGATTATGTCTTCATCATATGAATATCAGGCACAATCCCTCCTGTTAGGGGTTTAGTATTATACCATCATAAAATATATGAGAAGAACATAACCCGTGTCATGCCAACAACTGGTTTTAGAATAAATATGTTTAATTCCGATGCAAAGACCCTATAAGTGAATCAATATTAAAGCCAAAATATGCAATCTTTAATGACCTGACAACAGTATCGTAACTATATCACTTCTTAATAAGTCTGTTAAAAGGTTTTGTTAGCTTTTGAGGTGAATACTGACATTTTTGTGCTTTGTAAAGAATATTACCATAAAAGATTGGACCTGAACGTATAAGATGTCTGCATGTTGAGTTATATTTACGAATGATGTCCTTAAACCGATGATAAAATTTAGTAAATGTTTTGACTAGTTTATGATATCGAAAACCCTGGTGTAATAATTTTTCAGTAATACATAAATTTATCTCGCTAAAATCTAAGTACAAGTTGAGATATATAAACACCATAAGATGGTGACAAGGGAACGTCACCATCTAAAAATGGATAATTAACGATAGGAAATGAAAAATCATCTCTTTTATCATAAATTTTTGTATTAAGCTTCCTGTTAATGATATAGATATCAAGATCGAGGAAAGGACAGTGGTCATTGTTAGTATTAGCTTTATTTAAAGTAAGTTCAACAGGATAAATTTCTTTAGTATACATACTGAAGTCGTCATTATTGAGAGCCAATATTTCATCCAAATATCTAAAAGTATTGTTAAATTTTTTGTGTATTTATTTTTTTACAGCATCAAAGATATGTTTCATGAAAGGGCTTGGTTAAAATCTGACGTTTTCTCTGTACAGGTAATTATTATTTATTTTTTCCATTCTGCAATATGTTGCAAGGTACCTTGGCCACTCTATAAAAGAAATGATAAACGTCGTCATATTTATGGTGACAATACAACAAATGATGTTAATGTTAAGTTAAGTAACAGGCTACAGCTATGTTCTATTCAGATTAGATCAGTGAATTTGTATCTTCAATTTTTGTCTCGCCTTGACGGAGTCAAAAAGTGAGACACAGGTATGCTGATTCCAGCGGTGGCGGCGTCAACAATGTATTAGTTTGTGATTAGGTCTAGTTTATGAAGAACCACTAGTGGTAGGTCAATGATATTTGGTATGCAGTTGTATTAGCATTGGCACATCTCATTACCATGCAGATTATTTGGCCCTGCCCCCTTAGTCATGGTCTATTGACTTCTAAACTTTGCTTAGTTTACATGTATTAGTTTGTGATTAGGTCAGTTTATGGGGAACCACTAGTGGTAGGTCAATGATATTTGGTATGCAGTTGTATAAGCATTGGCATATCTCATTTCCATGAAGAATATTTGGCCCGCCCCCTCAGTCATGGTCTATTGACTTTGAAACTTTTGCTTAGTTTACATATGTATTAGTTTGTGATTAGGTCCATTTAAGATGAACCACTAATGTTAAGTCAATGATATTTAGTATGCAAATGTATTGGTATTTGCAAGTTTCATTTCCAAGTAGATTATATAACCCCACCCCCTCATTATGGTTCATTGACTTTGAAACTTTTACATAATTTACAAGTTAATGTTTGTGTTTAGGTTTGTTTAAAGGGAACGACCTTTGAAAAGTCAATGGTATTTGGTATGCAGTTGTATTAGCATTGGTACATCTCATTTCCATGGAGATTGTTAAGCCCTGTACCTTCAGTCAAGGTTCATTGACTTTGAATATTTGCATAACTTACATGTTAAATTATTGCTATTTTAATTTCTACATTTGCATTATCAAAATAACAAATAGGCGAGACATATCTCTGTGATAACAGTTTATATAATATTTATGGAGATTTGTGTTAAATGTACATTTATATCAATTATCCCTACTTGCCTTTAAACTGTAGATTTATGGAACTTATGCAATATTTGAAATGATACATCATATAAAAGGGCAGGTTTTTTTTAAGAGATTCTAATTTCCTTCACAAAAATACCCCCTCTCTGACTCCCTGTTAGGGGTTGTTTGTAGGAATCTGACTCCCTATGAGCGACAGAAAATTAATCAATTTTCTACTCATTCATAATATAAATTGTGGGATGATATTTTTAAATTTCTAAACAGCATACTATTGTCATATTCAATAATTTGCAGCACTAAAGGTCTAAAGGCTTTGTACATGAAAAGACCAATGATCTCATTACAACTGTCCATTTCTGAACACAAATATTTCAAATCAGTTACGAATTTTGAATTTATATTCCACTGATTGTACATAAGATAATGGGCTTTTGATATATCCCCTCTACATCATTGATCATACAATTGCAGCTAGAACTTTTCATTCTTTTAATCTTGTCTGTATTTCTTGACCTTTTTGATACTTTTTTCATGCCCCGCTGCTAAGTGTTACCTTGACTTTCCGTCTGTCCGTCCATCCATCCATCTGTCCTTCCTTCCAAAAAGTATTTTTTACATATTATAAGCAAACTTGAGCGGGGGCATTTATGTCCTCAGACACATTCTTCTTTTATTATATTGCAACTTTCTTTGATATGTTTTAAAATCAATTATTTCCACTTTACCAGGTAAGTATTTTTCAATTAGGTATGTTTTTGCTCAAATGGGCTATAGAAAATACAGGTCGAAGGGGTTAATGCAGCTCTTAAATGGGCTGTAATGTCAGTGTTAAATTGTCCACTTGTAGTTTGAAATGTTTTGCTAATATGTCTTGCACTTAATTACAGTACCAGTACTTAGTATGATTGGCAATTACTTAATTAATTTAATCTTGATTAAAGAAAATTAAACAATTCAATTAAAAATATTTCACATATTTTTACACAAAATATCATTTGAGCTATAACAGTAAATGTGGTCTTTTTGAAAAATTAAGTCATTGTCAAATAGAAGCTTTAACTATACAAAGCCAATAAAATGCTTTTAAAAAATAAGGAGATGTGGTATGGTTGGCAATGAGATAACTATCTACCAAAGTTCAAATGAACTGGATGTCTGCAATTATAGGCAACCGTACGGACATGGCAGGGTATTTATACATCTCTAAAATTGTTCAAAACTTTTCGTAGCTTAGTGTTAAAAAATTACACCAGATCATTTCCAGGGAATATTTACCATCACAACTGATATGTATTTCAGGTTAAAGTTGTAGCTGAAACAAGGGATCAAGAACATGCAGATGAAATACACACAGTATTAAAAGCTAATTACAAGCAGGTGGCTTGGGGTCCAAGATATTTTTAGGTTTTGTTAGTTTTAAGTGCAAGTCAGGAATATCAAATGACTGTATCTGTTTTTATGTTATCATCCATTTTAATGAATTGTTGTTTGGTGTTTTATTTCTTGAAATTTTAGAATTCTTTATTACCATAGATCATTAGTTTATATTTTACATTTGTATTGTTAGATTGATATTAACCGCTTTTCATTTATGACCAGAAACTTTTTAGCTGGCTTTACTTAAAGTTGAGTGTTTAAACAAGTTTAAAGATTTGTCAATTTAAACTGTTTACAGATGTTATATACTGTAAGCTGCACTGAACATTCATTAACATTATCTATCTTAGTTATAAAATAGTGTTTTTTTTCACCGTTTATGATTAATTCAGTATTTTAAAAATAAGTAGCTGTGTGTGATTGTCAATATTCCAGCATTGCTGTTTTATCAGGATCAGTACTTCACAGCACAACATTACTGATTTGCAAAACTAGAAGTTTACCAGTCTAGTAATAAATGTAGTAGTTACACAGTTTTATTCTATTTCTCTTGGTAAATTATTTTCTCCCTTTTTTTCAAACTTTTATTGAAATTATCCATGACAGATCAATCACAATGATCCTTGGTTGAATTGATAAAAATATATAATATATTATCATATGGATTTAATTTGACACCGTATGAAAGTTGGATCTGTAGAAAATATTTGTTTTGGTTAAAAAATACAGTAATTTTTTTCAGAGCAAAAAAGACTATATGAATGAATACCTGATTTTTAATAAAATCTTGCATTCATTCAACTGGTAGAAAATGCATTGATAAAGTTTTATACAAGTAGAGGGTATCCATTTACTTCAATGCAAAGCTTGGAATGTACTAAACTTTTATTTTGTGTAGAAAGTGTACATAAATTACCATAGTGTATATTAGACTATTTAGTGTATGAAACTTTAGTCCAAAGTTTGCCAAACAGTAGCATAGTAATCTTTGAAATGTTAGAAGCAAAATGAAAAATTACTCAACAGTAATTATTGTTTGGAAAATTAGATTTATTGACAACAAAGAACCCACTTTGTCTTAATTATGATTTTATTGATACTACAATGCTAAGAGGCCATAAGAAGAAAACTACATGTAAATTTTTGATATGATGTTTCTAATACCATTGGTTTTGTTGAGGTCACTCAATCTTTAGTTTTCTGTGTGGTGTTTTGTTATTAATACAAACAGACTGATTTTATTTGATCTTTTTGCTTTTGGTAATGGTGTCATCTGTTTTTAATGGACTTATCAGAAGTGTATCTTTTTTTTTTGGGAGAGGGGGGGGGGGCTTGGATGGGGCTTTAATGATAAATGCATAGAATTTTTCCAAGTGTAACTCCAAACGTTGGCTTGACAGGGGCCCCCTTTTGTTTTATTGAAATCCTGGATCCACACATGCTTATGGTCTTTGCTTGCCCCCTTGGTGTCTTCCCTCTTTTTTCTAATGAACTCTTTTAAGTTGTCATAAAAAGTATACAAAATTTTGTTCTTACCTGAAACTATACTGGTGAGAAAGTTCAACCAAAGGTTTCAACTTTCTGGATATAAAAAAATGTTTACAAATGTTTTTATGACTAGTCTCCTGACCCTGAGGTCAAATCTATGTATACCGTAAAGAAAATTTACATTTGAAAAATACTTTGGTTTTAAGGTACTAGTTTATTCTACAAATTGAAAAAATCTGCATGTATTCCTCTAGTGCAGTATTTTTATGCCCCCGCCGTAGCGGAAGGGGCATTAAGTTTTACCCTTGTTCGTCTGTATGCCGTCCGTATGTCCCAAAATTGGTTTCCGTTCTCTAACTTTAGTTTGCCTCAACCAAATGTTGTGAAACTTATACACAATGCTTATTACCACAAAACACAGATCAAGTTTGAATTTTGGTGGCGTCACTTTATCCGTTCTAGAGTTATGCCCCTTTACAAATGGAAAATTTTCCATTCTCTAACTTTAGTTTGCCTCAATCAAATGTTATGAAACTTATACACAAAGCTTATTACCTTAAAACACAGACCAAGTTTGAATTTTGGTTGCATCACTTTTACTGTTCTAGAGTTGTGCCCCTCTACAAATGGAAAAATTGCTGAATTTTTCGTTTACGTTCTCTAATTTTAGTTTGCCTCAACCAAATGTTGTGAAACTTATGCACAATGCTAATTATCACAAAACACAGATCAAGTTCGAATTTTCGTGGCGTCACTTTTACCGTTCTATAGTTATGCCCCTTTACAAATGGAAAAATTGCTGAATTTTTCGTTTCCGTTCTTTAACTTGAGTTTGCCTCAACTAAATGTTATGAAACGTATACACAATGCTTATTACCACAAAACTCAGATCAAGTACAAATTTGGGAAGCTTCACTTTTACTGTTCTTGAGTTATGTTCCTTTATAACGTTATATGCAAGCGGGGGCATCATCTGTGTCCCAAGGACACATTCCCCATTTATTTATTTATACGATAATCATATTTGCAAAACAAAGCCAACTGCTGCAGTCTAATTGTTGACTTAATCATCAATGTCAGGGTTAAATAATGGTCTCAACAATGGTTTGTTTATATTTCATTCGGTGAGGAATGTATTCAAATTGTCTTTTATGTATATAATTAAGTTTTGTTAAAATCTGATGTAAGACAATATTCCTGTAGCATACCAACATAAAGGGCCAGTATTTATTTGTGTTGAACAAATTTTTGAATGTCTCAGCTACCACAATTTATATATACTTGTGTGTTTTACATATGAATTTATGTCATTTTGCTATATATTTTTTTAAGAATCTTCAGTTTATTACCAACCACTTGTATTTAATGGACTGTTTTATTTTATTTATTTTTAATTGTTTAATTTTGTTTTGTGCAGTTATATTAACCATTCATATTTGTGAAAACATTTTTACTTATACATATTTTTTTTTATATAGTGATGAAACAACAGCCTCAATACTCATTGGAACTTTGAATTGAATGAAGGATATTCAGTATTCTTTTTTGGAAACATTGCAAAATAGACACTGACCTATATATTTATGAGTTATAAAATTGATTTGCAACTGAAAAAACAATACTCATTACAAATGGTCATAAGATTTAGCAGTCATCAATTTGACTTGCATTTGAAGTAGATTATCCCCCTTTGCACACAAATTTTCATTTACATCTTGCCATAATTGTTTTTTTTTTAAGTGATGGAGTGCTTTTTCCACATGTGTTATTTTAAGAATTTGGCATTTTGGTGGTGAGATATGATGTTATGTCGACACTGTTACATATGTTAGACAGTATCTTTAGTTGTTGTTTGTTAAATTGTTTCTTTTTTTCAGGAAAACAGTTATTTTAATATACCATATTTGTAAAAATGTGTTTTTTATATTTTTTGCCATGTTTTGAGATTTGTTCATGTACAAGATACACTTCTTAGACCTTACACTTACACAGTGAATAATTTTCAATTAATTATGAAGGATTGAATAAACTGAAAGAAGAAGAAGATTTGAACTTTTTAAAATAAAATGTTGAAAATATAAATTAAAGTGTACAAATAGATCAAACAGGTTCCTAGTTAAGTTGTTCTAAGATAATATTTGAGCATAATAATACAAAAAAAGATAAAATTATTAAAAATGGTGTTGCCTGCTGATTTTCAAAATGTTATTGTGCTTTTAAAATTCTTGAATTTTCCTATTTTGAGTTGTTACCCAGTAGAACAGAAGTATATTACATAAGCATGTGATTATTGGTACTTGGATTAACCCAACTTCTATATATGTTCCATATGTCATATGTAAACCATTGTACATATTCATGATAGGTCATTAATGTAACTGTCAGCATGATAGAATACTGACTTTAATCAGTGAGAAGTAAGAAAAATCAGTACTTTAAAATTGAGAATGGAAATGGGGAATGTGTCAAAGAGACAACAACCCGACCGTAGAGCAGACAACAGCCAAAGGCCACCAATGGGTCTTCAATGCAGCGAGAAACTCCCGCACCCAGAGGCGTCCTTCAGCTGGCCCCTTAACAAATATGTATACTAGTTCAGTGATAATGGATGTCATATTAAACTCCAAATTATACACAAGAAACTAAAATTGAAAATGATACAAGACTAACAAAGGCCAGAGGCTCCTGACTTGGGACAGGCGCAAAAATGCGGCGGGGTTAAACATGTTTTTTGAGATCTCAACCCTCCCCCTATACCTCTAGCCAATGTAGAAAAAACAAACGTACAACAGTACGCACAGTAAAACTCAGTTTAAGAGAAGTCCGAGTCCGATGTCAGAATAGGAATATCCAAAGCGAACAAAAATGTTATCAAGTAAAAATTCAAGGGCAGATATAGTATCAAAGCATGTCCAATTGACATAGCTCTTTTGTTTGTTGCTACTAAAAAATGACCTAAAAGAGTTTGAACATATGGTCTTGCTGTAGTTATGAAATGATAGTTTCAATGTAATTGTGTAATGATGGTTTTGATATATTGCATTATTTTACTTAATAAGAGATCAGTTCAACTAAGAGCTTAATTTATTTTAAGTGAAATTGGTTTGACTGTGCATCTAGCAACCCCAATAACTACTGAAATCTCTTCCAACTTAAGAATTTCTGAATGGTTTTCAGAAAACAGTTAAGTTTTGTTAATTTGCAAAGATATGTTACTACTTAGGCTAACCAATGAATATATAGGCAACACGGGTGATAATGGGCTTAGTGGTATAGCTAAGGAGTTGAAAGTAGCACAAAGTCGACCATGCCATGAAAAAATGTCAACTTTGACGAATTCACACCCATATTTCTTTGCTTCCATGACCCTGAAAAACCGATACCCTGGTTTGCTGTAGTCTATATGGACAGTGTGCCTCACCCTACACATAGACTGCCCAATTGTTAAACCTGACTTGAAACATTAGTTCATATAGAAGCAGTACTGAGTACGTTTTTCTCCCCAATTTTGTTGCTACACTTGTGCCTACAAACAATTACCATTCCAAAAACCGTATAATCGTTATCAAGGATGTCTTTAAGGCAGCCAACCACTCCAAAGTTGGCACATTCTTTTGTTGTATCTATAGTTGTTCAATGTATAGATATGGTGTACTTAGTATCATTTTAATAATGCTGAGATCTATTGGGGAATGCTTCTATCGTGGACTGATAGTCCATTTGCAGCAGAAACAACCCAGTGGTGGAACAAATGTATGGTATGTATAGCGTGCCTTTAACTCATATTTTTGGAACAAACTTCATCTAGCATGCTTGAGACCAAAAGATTGAAATTTGAAAAGCCTTTTTTTTTGTAGAATATCTTTGAACCTTAACATGAATCCACGGGCACTCTTGGACAGTCACACTTTTAGTTTTAAAATGACTTTCCCTGGCGCCAGATTTGTTCCATTATTAAAAAAGTATGCCCATTTCACCCTTTTGATAGTTACAGGATTTTGTGGAGGAGGAAATGGTGGGGATGGTTTTGAAGCTTATTTTTTTAGCTGGTGTCGAAACAGGGTAACTCATTTTTTTTGGATCTCGGCTGCATCAGTCTTTCTGGCTCATTAATTCAGATGTATTATATATTGTGTATTTCACTCGTTTAATGGTTTCAGGGATTAATTTTCATTGCTGTTAAAAAAAAAACCACTCTTAGTTTATATCAAAATAAGGAGTGACTTTGTGTCACAATGGATCTTAAGCTGCTTCAGTCGTACTCGCACAACAATGAAGTTTACATATACAAATTTTTTGATGTTTTGAGATTCATGGAGAGGGGTTTTTGTTGATGGTGGTGTGGCAAGCATTGGGATTAAGGCGACGATGGTGTTTTCTGTTGCAGAAGAGGGAAAGTAAAGGCAGTGGCGATAATAGGTACGTTTTTTCTCTTTGATGATTTTATCCAACAAATAATTTCGTTCCTGCATGTGTATCAATCCATTTTTTAATTATATGTTAATTGTTAGTGGCATATCCATGTTTTTCACCGCCTGGTCATCAAGACAGAAGAAACTTGTACACTTATAGCTCTCAGTCAAATTAATTTTCCGACCAGAGGTAATGGATTACTTGGGTTAAATATAACAGAAAGTTTTAGTATAAATATTACGTAGTATTTGGAATAGATTTGTTTGCCTATACACTTGAATTAAATCTAATATGGTTTTAAGGATTGAGCTTAAATCAAGAGCGGATCTACTAAATGCGTTTTGAGTAGTTCGTTCGTAAAATAGGCTAAATTTATTGAAATAATAAATATTTATTGAATTGGTACAAACCATACTCAAAGTTATGGTTAAACAACCCTTTAGTTAGCCAAATCCACTCATACAGTATTATATCAATACTCATTTCTTCTGTGCTTTGTACACACTCAATTTAGCGTTTCTTATTATTTAATTAAAGAAGGACCTAGATTTTTATTAACTTTCCAATTTTCGTTTCAATTAAGGTGAACTAGTATTACATTTTCTTTCAGGTTGTCTGCATATTGATATTGTAAAATATTAGATGCGAGTCACAATATGAAGGTTTGTCGAGTAAGCCCAGCGAAAGAGTTCAAAAAGGCAACATATTGTGTTGAGCAGCTAATATTTTACAATAAAAATATGATGAAAATCTGATACGATTAATCGATTTATCGGATTGTATTTTTGTATTTTGCATGATAGAAACAAGTTTTTTCTTTGTTTCACTAGCAAACCGGAAGGTAATTTGATAAGTTTGGGTCAAACTTAATATATCAATGTCATCAACGTCGGTTCATTCATTATGACGTCGGTGATATGTTCGGGTCAAAGTTTTCAGGACAGGTTAACGTATTTGACGCCACAAAGCCGTGATATGTAATTTTATGAAGAGCTTAGCAGAGTGACATAGGCAGTGGGAACACCGATAAGTTTGTCTGCATATTGATATTGTAAAATATCAGCTGCGAGTCACAATATGAAGTTTTTTGTCTAGTGACCGCAGCGAACGAGTTCAAACAGGATTCATATTGTGTCGAGCAGCTGATATTTTACAATATCAATATGAAGACAAACTGATAATCGATTTATCGGATTGTATTTGTGTATTTGCATGATAGAAACAAGTGTTTTTTTTTTTGTTTCACCAGCAAACCGGAAGATAAGTTGATAAGTTTGGGTCAAACTTAATAAATCAACGTCATCAACGTCGGTTCGTTCATTATGACGTCGGTGATATGTTCGGGTCAAAGTTATCAGGACAGGTTAACGTATTTGACGCCACAAAGCCGTGATATGTAATTTTTTGAAGAGCTGAGCAGAGTGATATAGGCAGTGGGAACACCGATAAGTGTTGTCTGCATATTGATATTGTAAAATATCAGCTGCGAGTCACAATATGAAGTTTTTTGTCTAGTGACCGCAGCGAACGAGTTCAAAAAGGCTTCATATTGTGTCTAGCAGCTGATATTTTACAATATCAATATGAAGACAAACTGATAATCGATTTATCGGATTGTATTTGTGTATTTGCGTGATAGAAACAAGTGTTTTTCTTTGTTTCACCAGCAAACCGGAAGATGGCGTGATAAGTTCGGGTCAAACTTATCAACGTCGTTTCATACATTATGCCGTCGAAGATATGTCAAGGTCGAAGTTCTTAAGGCCAGGTCAACGTATTTGATGTCACAAACCCGTGATAGGCAATTTTATTAAGTGCTGAACAGAGTGATACAGACAGTGGGAACACTGACAAATGTGTTTACTTTGGTGTGATGTATCATTTTTGTTCATTTCCTGATGTGCGAATAAGAAAGCTTACAAAAATTAACGCTAGTTTCAGGTTTCAATAAATCTTGGTCTCAAAACCTTTCTGCACATTATAGTAAGCGAACATCAATGCATATTTAATGGATTACTCTCTTAAAATAACTGACGCCACGATACTCGAATTCAATTACTAATGGATTATTAACTAAAAATAACTAATACTCTCAACTGTGCAAATCGTATTATGAAAGGTGTTATAATACCTTTTATTCTGCGGTTGTCAGTGTATTTAGCATGGAATATGTAAAGGCGACAACCCTTTTCACTATACCTTTCACAAATCAACAGGAAA